TGTTAGGCTATGCTGTGAGGTGGAGGAAGCATGTTCTGTTATTTCCCACTAATAGTATCAATAAATTGCCTCAATTAACCTTGGATTTGTATGCTCAGTTCAAGCTGGGCTTTCCCCATTTCGACTATTTAAGGAAAATATAAGTAATTTGGTTGGTTTGATGATGGAAAACACTGCTGCTTTGATAGGATGGCAGGTAACCGTGGCTGCTGCCTTCCCAAAGTATGAGATAAAGTGTAGAGGGAGTCTTAATTTAGCTGGTATGGTTTAAAAAACCTGACGTATATCCCCCAGGGTTGAAACCCGGGACAGGCACACTAACAGAAGACAACATGATGACGTTGCATGGCGATGCTCCTCCTGTAAGAGCAGCCTTCAAGAACTAGAAGGTTGTCCAAAGGTGCAGCCCAGCTCCTCACAGCTGTCCATGGTGGGAGGACACGAGGCAGCCGGTGTAAGCTGAAACTAAACAGGTTCAGACTGAATATAAGGAAAAATCATCTTCATCGTGAGGACAGCCAAGCGGTAGATCAGATTGCTCAGAGAGGCTGTGCAGCCTCCACCCGTGGAGGTTTCCAAGAGCTGGCTCGAGCAACTTGGTCTGACCCCAGGGCCAACCCTGCTCTGAGCAGGTTGGACTGGGGACCTCTCGAGGTCCCTTCCAACCTGAATTAGCCTCTCCTTTTGCAAAAAAAAACCCCACAAAACCCACCACACCATAGTGCAGAGAAGTGTCTTACAGCAGTTTTGGATTTACTGTAGAGATTGAGGCTGTTACATTTACTAGTGGGACTTTTATGATAAGCATGCTAATATGTATTGACCTCCATCTTAAAAGCAGAATTCAGTACCTGAGCAAAACGGTTGTGGATGCATTAGTTGATTCTCAGCTTAAGAGGTAAAAGAAACATTGTTTTGCCTTTTTTTTTTTTTTTAATTCACAAATCTTATTTTTATGAAAGATAAAGGTAATTTTAGTAAGTAAAAACTAACTCATTATTATACATAAGCAATTCCCAACCTGGACCTGGATGAATTATTATTATTGTTGTTACTATTAGAGCAATAGTAGAATACTGAAGAAAGCTGTGGATTTATAAAATATTCAAGACAGAGATGTGGCCGTATAACTTGTAGACAGGAAGTGGGTGCTTAGTATTTTAATATGCAAAGTTATGGGGTGTTACGTCTGCATTCACCTCATTTTGCATATTTTAAAATTATAATTCTTAGCCGATACCTAGCTTTTTAATATACTCCAATCTGTGTGCTGTCTTGTGCCATTGATTTAGGCAAACTACCTATTGTTCTTAATAGGGAAATCCATTGATTTGAAAAAAAAAAAAACCGGCAATGGTGTGACATGGCTTGTTAAGGGATGTGGTTTTGATATTAAGCCAGTCAGATAGCAGCTCCCAAGACCATTGCCCCTGCAGAAGCGGAGCTTTTTGTCGCTGTGCCTGGGTGGTGGGCATTGAGGTCCTTTGAGTTCCCAGCTCCTTGGTGCAGCCTTTCCCTCTCCCACTGCTTTACTGGAATGAAGCCTGTGGCACACCCCCCGATGCGAGCCGCAGCATGTTCCCAGTCTGGATAATTAGCACTAGAAAAGTGTTTTTTCCGCTAAAACTTTCCATTACCCACCTGAAATATGGCCCTGTGCGTTAGGCTAGGCTAGCTGTAGATGACAAAGGCAGAGACATGAAAGGTCAGAGGTAGGTACCGTCCTTTCAGGAGGAGGGGAGTAACAGAGTGCTGGGAATTTAGTATGATGTCTGTTTGTCATTACTATCTGTTGCAGCAGGTAAGGAGACAGCTCACTGAAAGTGATTTTTTTCGGGTGAACTCGCATGGGAAGTGCACAACACCTTATCATGTGCTTGTTGGTAACGTTCGCTGCACGGGTGACAGGAGTCCCCAGACTGATCTGTCTGCACCCTCAGTTTCAGGACTCTGACTCATATGTGGGAGCAGGTTAAAAGTTATGTGAAATGATTTGGACTAGATGACCTCTAAAGGTCCCTTCCAGCCCAAATGATTCTATGATTCTATGATTATTTTCCCTGCTGCCTGCCTCGTCCTGCTGACAGAGTTTGTGCCGCCATGCGCCAGGGGGAATAAATGTCTGTGGAGCAGCTCCTGAACTGCTGTCGTTTTAAGAGCTGTGATGCGCCAAGCCTCACTCCAGGGGCTTGATACTGATGCATCCTAAAGTTAAAGCACTCAATTTTGTCTCTGTATTTGTTATGCGGTGGCCTGCTACCATAGTAGTTTTATGCAAAAATCCAAAGTGGATTCTTATTGTAGATGTTGACCCAACCAACATGTTGAATATCGCTGCATGTTATGTACAGTTACCTGTTCTGCTCTTTGGTTGATATGTGCTGTCATCTCAGTCGGACTTCATATTTGACTTTTTAATAAACAAAAAACTCCAGGGTCCCACTTGACTGAGATGACACTAAAACTTTGAATTTTTGTTCTTGCAATGATCAGTAGTTGGGAATCGACCCAGTTCCTCTCTGAAACCAATCTCATCAGGAGTTCACGGGGACATGGAGCATTTGTTAGAAAAGGAATGAAAAGTTGCTTATAGGCATTTTCCCGCAACCATTGTATGTCCAAAAAGTGAAAACTGGTCTCAGAATTTATTTAATTTTGGTAGCTAGGGCTGCATTAATCTGTTCACTGTTCCCTGTTCCACTGTGGTTTATTTTGGGTCATTTAATTTCAACAAGGCTTGATCTGTTTACAGCGCTTTCTATAGTAGCGTGACGGGGCCACACAGCTCTTTTATAGTACATTCATTGCTAACCAGGAGCTCACACAACTAGTAAATGAGGCACAGACATGAGTAAGTTTAGAGAGGACAGTAGATTTTTGTATGGTTGAATTATTTTGGAAAGTTTTCTGAAATAACCAGTTTTTTGTGCACTGTGGGTTGCTTTGCAGAGCTTAAACTGATGGTATATAGTAGCCATGTGCTTTCAGAGGTAAGAGTGGAAGGGCTGGCTGAAGGCACTCTTCAGGCTTGAGGTACTCCAAAAGCCACCACGGTGGAGAGGTGCTCTCAGTCCTTATTTGAGGAGCGTTGGGTTTTTTCCATAGGTAGATATTTCCATCAGGTAGAGTTGTTTGATTTGATTTTGCTGTTTTAATTTTCAGATTTGCTATATGAACCATTCCTATACAAAATACATTAAGGTTAAATAGATCTCAGTTTAAAAATGTCCTAATCAGTTGACCTCATCAGCCAACACAAAAGCGTCCATCAAATCATGACTATTTCTGGGTCTGCTCATGCCTGCTGACGAAGTAACATTCCTTTTGTGTGCTTCATTAAACCAGACAGCATTAGTGACTCGCACAACGCAAGTCAGAAGGAAGGCATGATGTCCTGAAAATGGCTGCATCTCTACTAGCAGGTTAAAACAGTACCAAGAAGTGTTCCTGAGTGCTGAGACCAGGTTTTTTTTTTCTTAAATTTTTAGCTTTCTTGAACTCTTCTGGCCTCTGCTGTTTAGCACACTCCCGAGCAGTGGCCAGGCGCAGTTCAGGAAGGGCTGTTACCAATGGTTTAATAGTGTGGAAATAGCTGCTGGCATTCCCGTCGACCTCGGCGCAGGGAGGACCTTCCTGAACATGTTTAATTTGCTCCTGTGTAGGCAGTTAATACATCCTTACAGCAGATTAGAGGCAGAATCAGCAGTGTTTTGGTGTCTGAGTAAAAAGTGTAACATTAACAGTGGTGTTCTGAGAGCTTCGAAGCGTACTGAAGGTTTTGTAGCTCTGTGTGTGTGTGCATATGGATACACGGAGTCAGTGTACGTGTGTACTGTGTGATGTTCTTGCATAGGGATCTTAATGTTTTCTTGGCTATAGGAGGATATTCCAGCTTGGCTGCAAATTATAAAGCTCTTATACCAGTGAATGGAAAATTTAAAAAGCACTTTTTAAAAATGTCTCAATTTGGAAACTCACCTTCTACAAGTTGAGCGTGTCAAACGCAGTTTGACTAATGCTCTAGGACCTCTGGTCACAGCTCTTAAAGTTTTGCGACCGTTTGCGGTGTCATCAAGCAGCTTCAGATCTCAGCAGGTCCTGCCCTGCAGCCGCACAACCTGCTGGTGCACCCTACGATTTCCCTTTCTGGGGGAAAATGTATCGGCACGTCATGCTGCTCTACCTACGTTTTGGTCAGAGTGTAGAGATGTACTCCATGCCGATCTCCTCCAACACAAGCCACCTCAGAGATGACTGCCCACCCATATTTTTATTGTCTCATAGCTGTCTAAAAATTCCTGCTTTCAGGTTGATCAGGAGCTCTCCTTTTGCTGTGTACCTTCAGATTTAGCTCCATGCACTGCTTCTAAATTTAGGCTGTGAAAGTACCAGCTTGGCTTCTGTTCTTTTATACTTGAATGGAAATAGTTCAAAGTTGTGCTGATGTAATCAAAACAGGAGGCCAGAAGGCAATGAACTGGAATAAGCGTGAATGTATGAGAGAACACAAGCAGCAAGTGGCCACTTTAGATCCTTACTGCCATGAACACACAATTATTTTTTAATATAATATACTTAAAAGCTGCATTTCTTTTAAAGAAGGATTAACTGTTGTTATTCATAATGTAACGTCATTTATAAAAAAACATTTATGTTCGGTAACACCAGATACTCTAGCCAAGATACCATGCGGGGCAGTTCAGGCAGTCTGGATAACATGCAGAGTATTAATTGTGTAGCAGTAGTCTGTACTTAACAATGAAAATGCTGTTTCAAAGTCTTTCTCTTTTTTTTCATGGCCAATAGCCTTAATGATCAATCAGAGGTAGTGGGTTGAGGCAGAGCTCAAGACCATCAGCTCCTTCCAGCCTGCTACATAGTTCCTCGGAAACACTCTGTATCTCATTAGTTCTTGCTTAGTTTATGGTGTAGTATTTTGCTCAAAGGCGTTAAAGTATCACCAAAAGCAGCAGACCAATTAGTGTGACTTCTTTTTCTAGGGTCGTTGTACAAGGGAGAACTGCAAGTACCTTCATCCACCAACACATTTAAAAACTCAACTGGAAATCAATGGCAGGAACAACTTAATCCAACAGAAAACTGCAGCAGCAATGCTTGCTCAGCAAATGCAGTTCATGTTTCCAGGGACACCACTACAGCCAGTGGTAAGTATATTTCTCTGATGGTGTTAATGGTAAGTAAAGTTGAAATAGAAAACTGTATTGAGCTGCAAAAGTTCTCTAAGCTGATATCAATGAAAATAGTCCCCGTCTGTTGACTTAAGGAATTGTGGAGATGCTAGAGATATGTTCATTTATATTTGCATTTGAAGATATAATGGAGTGTTGCTGTAGATTTCATATATTGTTTATCCCAGAATAATTTGCATTTTTTTCTTCCTTTTTTTTTCCCCCCTTCATTCAGTTCATGTCAGGTTTAGTCTAGATTTGTAAGGTTTTCATGTGTAATCCTTCTAGATGTGAAAATTTGTTTAATAATAATAATAATTTGCTAGTAAGCTATTTGAGTAGCAATGCAAGGTTTCTCAGGAGTCTATGGGTTTGAATGACTTTAAATAGTGTTTAATCTGGGTACCAGGAACAAAAGTTTAATGTCATTCTGGGTAGCGTTTTCTTGCTGTCTTGAAATCTGAAGTGTCCCAGAATAAGACAGAGAATTGCTGGTTCACACACTTCACAAACTCAGCATTTTATCTTAAAGTAATGAGTATGGTACCTGGGACACTTCAAATCCAGAAGGTGACATAAACCTAGAACCTTGCATGCATGAGCAGCATCTTTGGAATACATTAAAATGATCAGTTGCTCTGGGCTGCCTTTGCAGTTGAGCTCCTCATTGTACCAGACTTCCAAAGCGTGGTTAGGCAAGTAATCTGAGTTAAACTTTCCACACACATGGCTGCTAATGATGTTTTTTCAATCTGAACGCCTGGTGTAAGGCATCCTGCTGGAGTGGGATTTCTTTCTCTAAGTTGAGGCATCTGGAGTGTTGGCATCAACTTCTGCATTGTCCTTCCAAGGTCCATTTACAGTTTATCAAAAGACATAGGCACTTCTAATCACTATTTGCTTAGCTTGTTTCAGACATCTGCATTCAGAGTAGATGATTGGGTTTTTTAAGTGCCTTTGTCTTTCCACCGGCTATCACAGAAGCCAAGCGTAAGCATCTCACAGGAAGACATCTGTATTTGGTTAGAGGATCCTCACCCCCAGATGCCATTTTCAAATGTGTTTTTACACTTGAAACTTCTGCTGTAAGGTGGAAAGCATGAACAAAAACTGGGTGTCAAGAATCCCTGAATTTCTGGTACATGTTCATCAAAATCTATCTTGGTATGTTGACATAATGCGTTGTCACCATTTAAGGCTGGACGGTGCTTAAAGTGGGTGGCAGATGCTCTCTGTTGACCCCTTCCTTTACCAGAAGGGGAAGGAGAGGAGAAAAGGGAGAGAGACTGATGAGTTGGAAACTTAAAACAAACTTAAATAAAACAATAACAATGAAAAAAAAAGGTATAAATAATATTAAAACTAATACTACTACTAATAGAAATAGAAATATACAAAACCAATATTGATCTTCCCGATGACGACCGCGAGGCTTGCAGTGCTCACGCGACAGGGCAGACACCCAGACAGCCTGGACTGGACTCCCCAGGGACACAGGAACTGGATTGAGGGATGCAGGGATCGGGGTTAGAGGCAGGAGAGCGAGCAGAGTCCAACCAGGATGCCGGCCATGAGGGATGGGGGAAAGAGAGGGCTGACCCCTGTGATCCCCGAGCTTTATACCGAGTATTCCCGTGGGTGGGATGGAATACGGCGTTGGTCGGTCCCGGGCCACCTGAGCCCTCTGCAGCTTCCCGGGGGTGCGACCCCTCCTCCGCCTTCCCCCCAGGAGGAGCCCAGCGGAGCCCAAGAGAGCCCGCAGGGAACCAGCACCCACCCGTGGGCCTTTCTGCATAACAATCCCGCTCCTGCCCCAGCCACAACTACAGACATGAACCACCATCAGCTCTGACAGCGGGCACTGCCTGAGACCTGCAGTCAGCTCCAGACAGGGCAGTGACTGAGAAAACTGAACTGAAGGAAAAAAAAATTCTCCTGAGAGCAGAAATAGTTCTGTTTTAGTCAAACCAGGACATGGGTTTTGATATTTCCTGTTTTTTTACTGCTTGAATTTTCATCAGAAAAAGTTTTGATGAAGTAATAGATTCCACCTCTTAGTATTATGAGAAGAACTGAAGTGGCAAAATTATACTTTTTTCTACTTGCCCATTTTGTCATTTGAACTTTACAATTTCATTGACGTAATGCCTTCTGTACTGATTGCTGTGATAAAAGTGCCAGGTTTTATTTCTCTGTCTCATATAAATTGCCAGATTAAGATGACTCAGCCTTGACCAAATGGATAAAAAGTGAAAGAAAATTCCATAGAAGTCATTTGACATGGATTTATTCTTAAAATTATATCTGATGCAAAACTGTTATTTATATATTACATAACACATATTGTCCTCAGCATAGTCGAACCATTGTTTTGTATAAATGTTCATTATTATGCTCTAAAGAATTTAGCTTGCACTTGACATATAAACTGGGCTGTTTGATATCAAGCAGTTTTGATCTCTGTGAAAAACAGAGCATTATCACTTTTAACTCTCTAGGGCAGGTAGATGCCATTTCCATACAGCTGGGTATCCTGGCTAATCTGCTGCTGAAAGCATCTTCTTGGTACTAACTCATATTCATTTATAATTTAGTAATTCATTCCAAAGACAAAAAAACCCAAAACCAAAGCAGAAGTAAACCTTCTAGCTCCTATGCTTTCTCTTGTGTATTTTCTACATCCTGTGCATCGCTGGCTTCCCTTCTCCAACAGAGGCCATGCAGGCCACCTTGATGAGAGAAGCACTCCTCCTTTGTTAAGTCTTTCTTTAGTGTTGTACTGTTGTGTGGTTCATTTCTAGCTGCCAGGTCATTTGGGAACTTAATTGCTGACAAAGCTAATCTGAGATGCGTCCTTTTTTTCTGCATAGTTTTTCCTCATTTATAATTATAGCTTCGCTCTCGGGTAAACATCAGCTCTGCAGAACTAAAGCACATTCCAGGTCTGACTGTGGTCTTGACCGTGGTGATGTTCTGCCTCCATCCCCCGTGGAGCTGGTGGTAACAAATCCATCGTTCTGCCTTGGTAGGGCTGCATTTTAGCATTACACAAGTGCTCTTTCTTCTGGTCATGACTTCACTGACTTGCTGTAGGAAGGCATGAAACAGATTTTTAGACCTGTATCATTCCTTCCAATCGCATTTTTTCATAAGATGAACTCTAGCTAAGCCTGAATAATCCCTTTCTAAATATTGTGTCCAGCTGAGATTATAATATTTATTCTGCTTGCCACTGGTGACAGCTGAGCACACAAACGTTCACAAAGGTGAGGTTTGTCCATGTGTGAGCCATAGTAGCATATAATTGCAGGAGGAGGCAAAATACAGCATGTGAACAGATGGAAGTTACATGCCAAAGAGTTCATTATATATACACCTATTAGAAATATGGCTTTAATGTAGTTAATAACGCTTCACCTATGAAATCTGGTACTTTGAAAAATAGCCAGTTTTCCCAAGGAAAACAGGTATTGAGAAAAAACAATAAAGCCTGTGTTATTTCTGCATTTAGATGTGTAAATAAGCCTGCAATGTAAGCTGGACCTCCAGAGAGATTCAGGTTCAAAGTACGACTTCTTTTGCATTGGCAACCTCTTTTTCAATAATAGAGCTACAAAGGCAGTTCTTCGTATGCTGCTGGAATGCGTTACGTGATTAAAAGAAGAGAGTACGCCATGCATTTTGCCAGCTGTTTGAAATTTTTTCATTAATAAAATGAATCGGCGCCAGAAATAACGCACAAAAGACAAGTAATAAGCTCTTGATTAAGAGGTTGGGTTTTTTTCATCTTGGTCTGTGTTTTCCTTTTGCAGCCCACATTTCCAGTGGGTCCCACAATAGGAACGAACACAGCTATTAGCTTTGCTCCTTACCTAACGCCAGTAACACCAGGAGTTGGCTTAGTCCCGACTGAGATCCTACCCACGCCGCCTGTCATTGTTCCTGGAAGTCCACCGGTTTCAGTCCCCGGTTCAACTGCTACCCAGAAACTCCTCAGGACTGATAAACTGGAGGTACTGTAGACACTGCCATGACTAGAAATACAATCCTCTGTTAGGCTGTGTGAAAGATCCTGGAGGGAAAAACTCTGTTGTTCTAGAAATGATGCTTAAATTTAGTTGCTACAAATAAAGACCTTGTAACTAGGCAGGACTTCTACGCTTGCAGCCAGTGGTAATTAAACACTCTTTATTTTTAAGCTAGTATATTCACTCAAATTTAATACACAGATATCAACATAAATTTTCATCTTTTGTAAAGCTCATTTCCTCCAAAATACCTCAAGTGTACATGCCTGTAAAGGTGTGCCTCCATGTCTAACAAGCACATTTTTATTGCGGTATTAATTCTGTCCCAGTTTTTATGCACTGGCATTCGGGGAATGTTGTAGCCTTATGGATTGATATTAGAGTCATGGTATAGCCCTTCAGCCTTAAGCTACAAATGGAGATGTCAAATGTTACCAACCTGCAGAAGGCTGAAGGGGCAGGCGCCCAGCTATGTGCAGAGCTTCCCTGGTGTTGATGGATCTCTGCATGGCTGGGCTCTGGAATCTGTGATCCAAGTACACGAGAAGGCCAAATGACTCTTGCAGAAATTAATGTCCTTTCCTGAAAGCCTCAGCACTAGTGTCTAGAGCACGTTTCTTCTTAGGAAAATCAGTGTGTTTGTTCTGCCCATTTTTGAAAATTACTTTTAAGGATGCTTTCCATTTTGTTTGTAGACTCCATAAAAAACACAGTGCATCTGATGCGTATCTTCCCCGGGTCTCAGCAAGAGGAGCTCCTTCCCTACCAGTGGGGCTGCAAGAATACAAAGTGTAGTGAGAAAGGGACTGAATATTTTGTGATTCCCAGCTAGTTTTGCAAGGGCAGTTGCTTCAGTAAGTATCCTTTCCAGGTGTTTAGACAGGAAAAAGGAAAGGCATTTGGGAACGCTTCCGTTGCACGTCAAATTCATTTAGCTGCCGTACCGCAGAGCTACCTGAGGAGCCAAGCACGTAAGGCTAAAATAAATGCATTCCCCTCTCCGAGAAGAAGATGAAGGGTTTATTAAATTGAATTCACTCAAAAACGGCAACTAATGGGGGAAGGGGACAGGTCTGGCTTTTAGGAGGGTGGGGCTCTCCCTGCCCTTTCGCGTTGCGCCGAGCTCTTCCCCTGCAACGCGTGTTGTTTTGCACATAGGTGTGCAGGGAGTTCCAGCGGGGAAACTGTGCGCGTGGAGAGACTGATTGCCGCTTTGCGCATCCAGCAGACAGCACAATGATTGACACAAACGACAACACCGTAACCGTGTGTATGGATTACATAAAAGGTCGTTGCATGAGGGAGAAATGCAAGTATTTTCACCCTCCTGCACATTTGCAGGCCAAAATCAAAGCGGCGCAACACCAAGCCAACCAGGCTGCGGTGGCAGCCCAGGCAGCTGCGGCAGCTGCGACTGTGATGGTAAGTGCTGGCATATATGGCTACCTTTTTTGACAGAAGCTCTTTGATGCCTATTTTGCTTCAATTTAATGCTGTTTGCTTATACTTTCTTTTCTCTTTTGCCTCTTTTTTTTTTCTTTTTCCTTTTTTTTTTTGGTAAAAGATGAGAATTTATAAAATTACTACTATTGCTTGATGGGAGGAAGCACTTTTTTTTCTTTATGCCCTTATTTTAATGCTATATTTCTATCCAAGACAGTGAAGCAAATGACATTCTATACCACTTCTGTTCTCTGCCTTGATTATGTGTTAAATTTGCCCCTAGTATTTCCAAATGAAACAACACTGATAAGCTTCAATGTCCCCTGGAAAACAGGGGCACATATGCTGGTTTAGCTCTTTGATTACAGATATACATGTGGAAATTTGGAAGAAAAGCAAAGAGAGTGCTTTTGCCTCAGAGATCAGTAGTAGAAGAGAAACCTGCATTAGTATTCAATTCATCCCACCTTAGATGTCAGACATGTCAGATGTGTCTGAGCCTAGCCTAGCCACCTTGGTCTCACTTCATAGGTAATGGAGAAAAACCAGCACGTTCATGTGATCCACCGTTAGTGCCTGTCTAAGGATGAGAAAATTCTGCTCTTTGTAGATATGTGTCTATTGCCGATGACTTAAAAAGTGTTAACTATATCTTTTTGAACTTTGGTTTGATGAATCTCATGCCTAGAGACTTTTCTTGCCTCTCCCACAGTCGTGGGCAAGTTACTTGAATCACAGGGTTTAAAAGTAGTAAACTAAAATGGGAATCATTAAGAAAAAGCATAGTAACTATAGTCAGAAGAAAAGAGATTGAGGACCTTCTATTTTTAGATATTTTAAGCTCTTACTTAAAACTGTTCAGTCAAGTCAGCCCATACGTTTACCAGTATTGGATCTCTCTTACGATTGCTACCAGGAAAGTTGATAAATTTAAATAGAGTGGTATTGATAAAGTTAAATAAATCAAGCATGCAGGATCTGACTTGGGAGACAAAATTGCTGGACGCAAACCAAAGAATCATTGTCCTCATTGCTGCCAGTGGACGAATAATTAAGCAGATGTGGTTTGTGGACTTGTGGGCAGTGCATACAATAGTTACAGACAATACAGTTATTCTCTGGGTAAAAAGCCTACCAGAAACACAATACAGTACAGTATATAACTACCCCAAGCTATTGTATTTAGCAAATTAGCAAAGGCTAGACTTTTTGAGGGACAAAGGGTAGGTTATGCATTATGCAAGAAAGTAAACCTCCAAACAGAAGAACATTTCTTAAGTTTTAATATTCTTTCTATTATAGTATCCCCAGTCTCTGTTTCAAATTGGATGATTTTTAGTTAAACTTTCTTGTGCTTACAGAAATTGAATACCATCTGGAAATCAAAGCAAAGGAGATTTTTTTTTTTATTCTAATTAGCTTCTATTGTGCAATATTTATTTTCCATTTAGAGAATGTAGTATTTCTAGGCAGTATACTAAAGAAGAAAGGAGAGACATGAGGGGTTTAATTTTTTGCACTTCAGTAACGGTTGGATATATATCCTGTGATTTTAAATAAGCCGTAATTGGAGCTGCATTAACCTCAAAGCAAGATAAACCATCTTTGGAAGCACAGAATTGAAATGTTAGCGTTGTAATGTCATGGGAGAAGAAAGCAGGGACCTGTAGTTCAGAGTAACTTTTTGCAGAAAAATATGTACAAGATATTTTAACAGCAAATTTAGACTACCAAACAGAAAAGATTCTTCATAATCCAACTCTTTGTTGTTTAATATCGCTTCGAAACAATCAGATAGAGTGAATGAAAAATCAGTGGAATGCCAATAAGAACAATAAAGTGGTAGAAAAGACACATGCCTGCAAGGCCACCCAAGGATGACCCAGAATGCTCAGTTGGATCTAGAGAACAAAAGTAAGGCAGAAATACAAATGCTTCCCTGTAGAGTTCACTTGCAGGTTGCTCCCAGGTTGAGATATTGTCCAGGACGTTTTCCTTCCTGGAGGACCTGGCTGCATTGCTGTGGTCCAGAGAGTGCTCACATGGGTGAGCGTTGTCGATAGGGTTAGGGCACTGTAGGCAAAGCTTGTAAGACCGTTGAAGGTCAATAAATTCTGCAGTCTGAGACCTTGCAGAAAATGCCCTGTCTGTATTTCTGTACACTGAAGTTTAGGAATTTTTACTCGGATATCTTAGGTGACCTCATCATTTGAAATAAAAAGAAAGGGGAAAGACACAGTGAAAGAGGCTGTAGATCGTGTAACCCTTACGTGTGAAGCGCAGTAGAAGGCAGTGTCGTCTATCATTGTATTTGAGAAGCTCCAAATACTCATATTGTGCATCAGAGAGCATAAAAAGTCACTGAAAGATGTACAGCCTAAATTAAAATGTGAATTCATAGTTGGTGTTGGAAGGGACCTCTGGAGGTCACCTAGGCCAATCCCCCTGCTCAAGCAGGGCGGGCTGGAGCAGGTTGCCCAGGATGTGCCTAATTGGATTTTGAAAGTCTCCAAGGATGGAGACTCCACAACTTCTCTTGATAACCTGCTCTATGGTTAAATCATGCTTACAGTTAGAAACAAAATAATTTTTTTAAAAAACCTCTTACATTTAAATGGAATTTCTTGTATTTACATTTGCTCCCATTGCCTCTTGTCCTGTCACTGGGCTCTGCTGAGAAGAGTCTGGCTCCATCTTTACTCCCCTGTCAGGTATTTGTATACACTGATGAGATCCCCCTGCATCTTCTCTTCTGCAGGCTGAACAGTCCCAGATCTCTGAGCCTTTCCTCGTATGAGAGGTGCTGCAGTCCCCTCATCATCTTTGGGGCCCTTTATAGGTCTGTTTGCTAGTATGTCCGTGTCTGTCTTGTACTGGGGTGTCCAGACCTGGACATAGTGCTCCATATGCAGCATCACCAGTGCTGAGCAGAGGGGAAGGGTCATCTCCCTTGATGTGCTGGTGGTGCTCTTCCTAAAGCAGCCCAGGAGGATGCTGTTGACTGCCTTTGCTTTGAGGGCACATTGCTGGCTCATGTTCAACTTGCTGTGCATCAAGACCTTGAGGGCCTTTTCTGCCAAGACTTGGTAGCCCCCAGCCTGTATTGGTGCCTGGGGTTGTTCCTCCCCAGGTGCAGGGCTTGATATTTCTGTTTGTTGAACTTGGTGAGGTTCCGCTGTGCCCGTTTCTCCAGCCTTTCCAGGTCCTTCTGAGTGGCAGCACTTCTATCTTGTGTATCAGCCACTCCTCTGAGTTTGACACCACTAGTGACTGGCCTCCAGCTGGACTTTGTGTTGCTGATCACAACCCTTTGAGCCTGGCAGTTGAGCCAATTTTCAGTCCACCTCACTGTTTCCCATTTAGCCCATACTAAGTAAGTTTGTCCGTGAGGATGAAATGGGAGACAGTGTTGAAAACTTCTCTGAAGTCAAGATAAACAACATCCATTGCTCTCCTCTTACCCACCAAGCCAGTCTCATCGTAGAAGGCTGTCAGGTTGGTTAAGCGCAACTTCCCCGTCATAAATCTAGGCTAACTACTCCCCATCACCTTCTTGGCTTTCATGTGTTTGGAGATGGTTTTCAGGAAGATTTGCTCGATTGCTTTCCCAGGGGCTGATGTGAGGTTGACCAACCTGTCGTTCTTCAGTCCTTGCTTCCTGCCCTTTTTGAAAATAGGAGTGTCATTTACTTTCTTGCAATCTTCAGGAACTTCCCCCAGTTGCAGGGACCTTTAATTAAGAGTGACCTTGCAGTGACATTGGCCGCCTCCCTCAGCACCTGTTGGTGCATCCTTTCAGGTCCTATGGGTTTATGTACATCCAGTTTGTTTAAATCATAGAATCATAGAATCATTATGGTTGGACGAGACCTCAAAGATCATCAAGTCCAACCGTATACCTGATGCCACCCTGTCCACTAAACCATGTCTTGAAGTACCACATCTAAACGTTTTTTGAACACCTCCAGGGACGATGACTCTACCACCTCCCTGGGGAGCCCTTTCCAATGCCTAACAACTCTAACGGTGAAGAAGTTCTTTCTAATGTCGAGCCTGAACCTCCCCTGGCGCAACTTGAGACCATTTCCTCTCGTCCTATCGCTAATTACCGGGGAGAAGAGACCAACCCCCACCTCGCTACACCCTCCTTTCAGGTAGTTGTAGAGGGCGATCAGGTCTCCCCTCAGCCTCCTCCAGACTAAACAACCCCAGCTCCCTCAGCCACTCCTCCTAAGGTTTTTTCTCCAGGCCCTTCACCAGCTTTGTTGCCCTTCTCTGGACTCGCTCCAGCACCTCAATGTCCTTCTTATAGTGAGGGGCCCAAAACTGGACACAGTATTCGAGGTGCGGCCTCACCAGCGCAGAGTACAAAGGGATGATCACTGCCCTAGTCCTGCTGGCCACACTGTTTCTGATACAGGCCAATGTTCCCTAGCCTGATCCTCCATCTCCGAGGGTAAATCTTCTTCACTTCAGACTTTCGCACTGGTCTCCCACTGGCCTGAAGGCCAGTCTTACCAGAAAAGACTAAGGTTGAGAAGATGTTCAGTACCTCAACCTTCTCCGTGTCTTGTATTCCAGGAGATATTATAGCATATGAATGTGACATACAACAGACAAATACTATGCCCCAGTATGTTTGATCATTTTTATTATGATCTTTCATTTCCTTTCCATAGCCTTTTCCTCTCCAGTCTGTAGCTATTGATTTTTTTCGTTGTTAGTTACGTAGGGGATCAAATGTTTAGCAGGAGATAACTTGATGGAACAGAAAGAGGCAAAAGAAGTTTAACTATCAGGACAAAATGAAAGAAAAGATGAATGTGGGAGAGAAAAATAGACAATTGGTTTGAAAGCCTGAAGAGTGGGAGACTACATGGAAACAAGGTTGATGAGTAGGTCTAGAAAGAGATCAAGTTAAAGCCTTGAGGCTGTGAAAACTGTGAGACTGAACTTGCTGTGGAAGATGAGGAGGCCAGCAAAAAGCTTCAAAATAGGAAGGTGAGGGTAAGAAGAGCATGGAGAAACAATGGAGAAAGGCAATCATAAACATCTCACAGAAAGTGAGATCGGATAAGATCTGCATTTGGATAATAAAGGTAATTAACTGAAATGCTTTACTCTTAATGATGTTGATTTAAATTTGTGGACTTCATCGTCGTGTGATGCTGAATTCAGTCATAGTGCTTCACCTCCGTGTAGACTTCCATCCGTGGTGGATGCAGAATGGATCTGAGCCTGTGCCCCATGCAGACGGAATGGTGTCCTCTGCAGGGGTACCCATGAGAGATACCACACGTCAGCTGCACAGCACCCCGCTTAGACACAAGAAGGCTCTCCAGATCCTCATTTTGCACCAGGTGTTTCTTGTTATGTCTTGAGTCTTGGACCCAGACAGATGAGCAGATCCTGTAGATCGGGGTATGTAATCCAGAAGTGTGCGGAAGGAGAGGTTGGGAAGCCTCATGCAATGTAGGCGCAGCAGAGCCAGGAACGAGGAACAGGCAAAGTGAGGGCTATCCTGCAAAGTACCCTGTTGGCACTAGCTAATCCATAAGCTGTTTGTAGGCATTTTGTGCCTTGTCCTCTTTTTTTTTTTTTTCCCTCCCACTTTTGTTCCCTATTTCCACATACTGATGTCAAGATAGATGTAATCTGCATATCCTAAAAAGAGCTAAATGTCAGCCTGTGTTTAAAAAACAAAAGTAAAAATCCTGATTTGTAAGTAAATATTCCTTTCCTTTCTAAAGGTTTGTAAGAGTTATTTATACTATAAACTTGAAAGTAATATTTTATATGAGAAGATTTTTTTACAGAATGCAATCCTGTCAGCCATAAGTTTGATCTTATTATGGAAGTATACATAAATGTAAATGCCTATGTACTATGCCTAAATACTTTCTTTTAAAAAGCAATTAATAATGCTGGACTAGTATCATAGCTCATACGTTAATGTTCACTTATGAACTGAGAGCAGTATTTTTACTCCCTGCCCCTGAAGCTAGTACTGAAGGTTGTAGCAAAATTTAGAAAATATGTTTCAAATTCTGAAAGACTTTTTTCCCTCTCAATGTAATGTGGTAAGTTACAAGGAAAAAATAATCTACAGAAACGACCCAGCTGTAGGGGAGAAAAAAAAAAAAAGGAATTAATGATAAGTTAGTGTAACTAGATATATTATTTATTCTGCTTTGTATTGGAAAAGGAGAATCTCTCTCATTTTGGACACCAAATCTATTGAACAACGCACTTCTGTCAATTAAAAGACCCTCACCTTGCGAGCACTGATATTAAGAGCATTTGTAATGCATTACAACTTTCACTAGTGCTTTGTATTTGAAATTGCAGTCTTCCAAATTGATTTTTCCGCTTTAAAATGTGACTTAACTAACTTATCAGGAATTCTTGTAGGCATATCCTTAAAACTTTCTGCATCTCTGTGAAGTGTTTATACGATGCTTAATAGTGTCTGCAAGCTGCTGTTTTACTCAACTTTCCTGAATTTCAAACATCTATATTTTACTCTCTTATATGCTTTTAACTAAGGTATAGTAGATGCATTTTTGCTTCGGTACTAATTTGAAATGTAATATTCATTTCTTTAGAAGACATTTTTGTTGTTGTGCATGCCTAGTGTTTTGTATGTTGTATATTGCATTCAGAATATTTTTTTCCTTCTCACCTATCCACAAATGCAATGCCGTTCCCATGATGCACCTCTGCTTGCTGTTTACCTGTATGTTAATTCGCTTGAATCCCATTGGCCCACTGCCATCATGTGCTCGCTGCCTGTTATTAAAAGACTCAGTCGACTGCCAAAGCAATGAAGCGACCTCTCGAAGCAACTGTAGACCTGGTACTTTGACCTTTCACCTTTTGCTTTGCATGTAGCTTTTTTTTATTTTTTTCCAGAGAAGCAACTAATGAAATTTGTATCGCTTTACTTTTGAACATCAACCAGAAATGATTTCACGTACACGTTAATTTACCGGAAACTCTATTTATCCATCTCATTCTCATACGTAATAAACGCAGACGATTTAGTTTGGTTCCTAACATGGTTTCATTTTTTTAAATATCCTCTCATGAAAAGTTGAATTGAGATAAAACTGCTTCTGTAATTGAAAATGCTTAAAGTAATCCATTAATCTTTATAATATTAGGAAACAATATTTAAATTTTGAAAAGAAAATACTTGGCAATGAAACACAAGTGGTTTTTTCTCCCTGTAATATTTGAAAACCTATTTAAAGGCAATGCCATTTTCGTTGCTTTAAAGGCCTTTCTTTTCAGTAGTTGTGCTGCTACAGTTTTAGGTTAATAGTACCATGCTTTTGCTATCAATAACAAAATTTCACTCATTTTACATTGCTGTGCTTTGAGTTAATATGCATGGCGAGGCATCTTTAGCTGCTTTAAAAAACAATAAGTTGTTGTATTTATGTATATGTTACGGACAACAACTTAAAAACGACGCCATTTTAACTAACTTTCTCATTTACAGGCCTTTCCTCCTGGTGTTCTTCACCCTTTACCAAAGAGACAAGCACTTGAAAAAAGCAATGGTGCCAGTGCCGTTTTCAATCCCAGTGTCTTGCACTATCAACAGGCTCTTGCCAATGCTCAGTTGCAGCAACATGCAGCGTTCATCCCGACAGGTATGTTGTACCCACATTGAACCAATTTTGTGTTCCTTAAGTAACCTCCATGTCAGGCAGTTGCACTTAACAGGAGGTTTTATTATGCTCCCTGCCCTACTGGAGGTGAAGCCTGCACAGATATTTACACCTTAGTTTAATTCCTCCTGCGAAGCACAAGAATTGAAGGAGAAATTTCAACGTGCCGTTAGGCTGCTTTTCACATTCATAGCCTCGTTCGCCATTGTCCAGAGTTTGCCCCTTTTTTCTTACCTTAAATTGGCTGTATTTTGATTTTTATCTGCCAGCACTCTCCTAGGGGACGAGAGGGCAAAGTTCCACTAACAAAAATGCTAGGAAAAGCATCTCACTTCAGAGATGCCACGGGAAGTGTGCCGTGGCCGAGGTGCATCCACCTGCTCCCTCGGATGCTGTTTTGCAGCCACGGGGATTACCCCAGCCGCAGACGAGCGGAGCGAGAAGGGGAGCACCAGGCATAACCTTCCAGTCGATACCTGCGAGGACGCGCTGGGCAAAACACATTGCTCCCCGCAGCTGCACCAGAGGGCTTTGAGGCATCAGTGCGTTTTCGTGGTTTTCATTGTGGAACGCCACCAGAACTTTTCCTAGCATTTGCAGCTAATCGCTGGGGTTATAATTCTTCATAGGGGTGATCTGAAGACGAGTGAACGTAATTTGCATTTCAGTGCTCGGAACTCTCTGAAAATCAGAGCGTTCAGAGATGGCTTGAACTGCACCGTGGCTGGTGGCAGAGCTTCTCGTTAACACTGGGAGAGAAAGAATGTGCTAGGTGCTCGTGTAAACAATAACAACATAACCCTCTAAATTATGTCAGTCACCCCCACTCCAAACTTCCCAAATGTAAATATCGTGTCTAATGAATTCTGTGATTTCATTTGTAATTAACACATTACATATTTTAGTATCAGAATGTTATCGAGTGTGAACTTCCAGAATCGTTTAAAACTACTGTTTGTAAATGCTCTTGACATTTCAGCGATGTTATTTTAGCTTATAGAAATAATGTTGGTTAAACAGGGAATGAAACACAACATATGATGATTTCCCTATCTATCAGCATTCCCATATGTTTGTAAAGGTAAAAACAAACACAGATAGCTTTGACTTCATGGAATTTTGCTATAAGGCCTGAGTAACAACCTTGGAGTCTGCCCCTGTATTTCTAATAGTAAGTTATAGCATGCCGTATTTTTAGCACATTGGTGCACCAGAATATCTGTGGCAGAAAACATACTGACATTTATGGGAGTGTTTGAAAAAAATAAATAAATTGTGAGACTGGCTATTTGGACATGAATGGAAGACTGCCTTGTGCTTACAAACATACAGAAATTTCCACAAATTTATTTTATATTGTAACCCTGAGAATTTGCAGTATGATATGCATTATTCCTTCTCTTAAGCACTCCTTTTCAGGTCTTATCACTATTATTTGCAATTACCAAGGATTTTAAATTAACTATGGAAAATACAGTAGTTTAAACCTTTTTCAGTGAAATAGCATTTGGATATTTTCCAGACTTTTGGAGTGCTCATGCTTCCTTAAGTAGCTCATTCTTTGTGCTTTTTATTGTCCATCCCTCTTTCCAGCTCGTGGTTGTAATTATAGTTTTATCTTACAAATTTCTGATGGTAGGAAGGGTGGATCTTGGGACCAAATCTTCAGGGCCAGGTTGTTGGAAGCCCCAAAACAAGTGCACGAAAAAAGAAGAAACAGAGAGATAACATAGCAGATGGAGCCCAAGCCCAGAGTAGAAAACCTTCCCCGAAGTGCTGAACCTCCTGCTCTTTGCAAACACCATGAGCACCTAGAAAGGGTGTTAGGGAGAGGAATGGGGTATGGGAGGAGGTTAGGAAAGGGCAACTCCCTCTATATGAGTGGGTGTCATGAGCTTTTCATTAAAGTGCTACGTCTGATATTCCCACGTTTCCTGGGAAGGTTGGATTTGGTGGGTGTAGGGACTATCATGCCACCCAGGTCTAAGGAGCCATGCATGACATTATCTGTTGGATTTTAAATGATTATGTGATATTTTCTGAACTGGTATAATTTTCAAATGTGTTCCTTGTGTGTGTGTGTGTGTGTGTGTTAAGTTAAATTTTAAGACAAGTTTTGCTGCTGGAATATATATAAAACTTAATTGTTTTATATAACTTCTCTGCTTTCTTAACCACTTGCTCCCCTAATAAAAAGGTGTGGGCCTTGACTTAGCATGGCTTACCTCCAAAGTTCTGCACTTTGTTTGTTTTACATCGGTTTGATTGCTTTGTCACCTTCTCCTTATGGTTTGGTGAATGACGTTAAAAACAACAGAGCTTTTCTCTCTTCCCATTGCTGTTTGTTAGTGTTTCTGTAGCCTCTAGAGGAGGAACTTTGTGTATTCTCTGGGGACTGTTCTTGGGTAAGGTCATTCATAGTTACGCTGCGATGGTCCGATAAGGGGCTGCAGTACTAATTAAGCAGGAATACGGGAAGCATATTTGACTTTGTATCAAATATGCGTGTACCTGGGACTAGTCTGCTTATCTGCTCTCCTTCACCAGCTTGCTATATGCACTGTACTGAAAAGATGCTGTTCTTTTGTTGTGTTTTGTTTTTTTTTTTTTTAATTTGGTCTCCCCAGAAAGGTTAAAGGTAGACTAGGCACCAAAACTAAACTGCATGGCAGGCGAGCGGTCCTTCCAAGGAATCTTTGAGGTGCGCTTGGGAGCCTTTTGCTGGAACATGACACACTTTGAAGTGTTTAGCTTGGGAAATTGTCGAAGCAGTGGTTTTTTTGGTCAGAAGCACCTCTCCATCTCCAGTGGTGTGTTAAGAACGAGTACGTTAACATCAAATGCAAATTTGACAAAGCCACTGCAGAACAATATCGGCTAATTCTGTTTTAACTTCTTTCTCTGCTGCACATCAAAAAGTTGGTGAATGTTGATCTGCACAACATTGAGCTGTCTGAATTAGGCAGAGTTATAAAATTCCCAAATAACGTGATATTTAACTAAAGATGTTTCTATAAACAAAAACCTGTTGCGAAAGTACTGAGTGAAAGGGTAGAAGTACTAAATGAAAAAGTTTACGAAGTATCTTGTATATACACAGAAACATGCCAAAAGTCACACAGTATACTCAGGAGTTTAGGAAGAACATAGTCACCTTTTCTGTGTTAAAGCAAAACTATGAATGACCTTACAGTTTCATTTAACTAACTTACTTCTCTGTGGTTATGCTTGAATCTCACTTTGAATGTTAACTCTAAACGGCTAACCTGTTTCTTCCCTTTATCCACTTTTTTCACCTATCATTGCATGACACGCAGGGTCAGTTTTGTGCATGACACCCGCTACCAGTATTGGTAGGTTCCAAATTTCTTTATTGATCTCTTTTTATACTGTATATGGTGTATATTCACTTGTCTCAAAACTCCTAGGCGAGAATTAGACACTGACTAGAATTAAAGGTTCGCTTGTCCTTCTGGTTGACTTTGCAGAGTGTTTAGATTTGTAGATGAAAGCTGCAGTTTAGATGTGCTATCACCTGCTATAACAGCTACACTGCAAAAGCATAATACCATGAATTCCAGTCTGCTTTTCAGTTTCCAAAGTTTTATTTCTCTTTATATTTTATATTGTCTAGTACTATAAAATCATAAAATACCGGAAAAAGCCAGCAAATTTCATCAGTGTTTAAAAGTTTCATAGTGGTGTGCCTATTTCTCCTTTTTGCTGTGTGTTAGAAAGTTTTATCAGCGTTTCCCAGAAATGCCGACTTTGATCCACAGAAGTTCTATTGAAACCTGTGATCCGAATCTCGCTCCTCCTTTAAATATCTTTGCAGCTTGGAATTAACATTTTGGGCATGCAAAACCAAAGTCCAATGCAACAGACTCTAAGACAGAAAAGTAATCTTTCTTCTATCCTATAGCCCTATCCCAGTGATTTTATTATTTTTCTTTTGTGAGGGACTACTCAGAGAAGCAGTTAAAATATGAAGCTTTTAAAACACCAAGTTAATAATTCTCCCATGAAGATGCTGATTCAAATTCATTCTTAAAATGAGCAAAAGCAGCGACTTTCACAAAATCGACCTTGCTTTTTTAGATCAAACAAAGTAGTATTTCAATCAGGAAAATTATTATCATCCTTCTCCTGATTTTTGCCTCAAAGCAGATGATAATTTAACTCTGATAAAGTCTAACAGTTATGCAGCACTAGTAGAAAAAAATGCATAAATTGGACTGTAAACGAAGCCAGCGAGTATCTGGCTTACATAAAAATGGAGATACATGAAAATAATTCATTTTTTAATTGTGTTTAAACATTAAGATAAAAATTATCAGTTTCCTTCCTGCTACAAACCACTCTATTTTTTTTTTTGACCAGAATTTTATTTTGGATTGCTTTGTATCAATACTGAGGGAAAACAAATTGCCCACGTAACAATTCTGAGGCAACGGGCTATTTTGGTAGAGACCTTGTAGAGACAAGTAATCCTCCTCTTAGAGATAACGCCCGCGTTTTCAATGGTCCTTGCTCTTTTTTCTGGGAATCGCCGATTGTGTTGACAACCTTCCTTTAATTGTACTTGTAATAAGCTATTTTCCCTTTTTTTTTTTTTTTTTTTTTATTTCTTCCGCCACGCTTTCTCGCTTTGCACTGTGATTGCATGCCATCTGCCGGTTTAACCCATGACGATGGCTTGCCGCTCTTGATATTCACCATGCCAAAAAATACCACTTCTCTTACCATAATGCTGCACCCTCCTGTTCATTGCTTCCATGGTTCCCCTCCTGAAAGTACCCATGATGCACAACGCTACGGCCGCCACTGTCTCTGCAGCAACAACTCCTGCAACAAGTGTTCCCTTCGCCGCAACAGCCACAGCAAATCAGGTTTGCTCCTTTTAAAGCTTTCTTTCACAAGATCCTGAACTCTAAATGAGTGCTGAGATTTTTATTTTAATTTTTGTTTTTTTAACAAAAAAAATTCTCCCGGAGAATTTTTTTTTTTCTTCTGTGTTTACCCCATCAAATTTTACTTTTATTTTTAAGTCGTTTATAGCAAGTGTTTGTGCGACAGGTTGCACTTATTTAGAGTTAACATTTGTTGCAAATAATGATGTAGCTGTGTTTTGTGTTGCGATGTTTGTACCTAATTACTGTGTAATTAACCCAGCTGGAGTTAGAGTCACCGTAGTACTAGACTGCTTACAAAAGTCTATTATTAACTCCTGAGTTCAAAAGGAAGATCACCGCAGGTTTCAAACGTTCAGGTGTGTTAATGTAGCCTTCTCCATCCAGTGTGTGCAAGTGACTAACTTGTAAGCACAGAAGCTATCTAAAATCGCAAGCGGTGCAAGGCAGCTGTAAAAAACAGAGAGAGAAACAAAATTGAATGTTTCCTGTAAATGCTAGTGATCCAAACAGCACTCGAGATCTTTATGACTATACCTGCTTTATGTTTGAAAGTGTGTCTTTAACCTGGGAATTTTATTTCCCTAAGGAAGGACGTTGTTACAAAGAACCCCTAGGGTTATTGGCAGAGGTAGGCTGGGAAATATCACGTTTTCTCCTTTTCTTCCGCGGTTTGTTATGTTAATGGCAGTTTTCATTTTGGTAGGGTTTCCCCCTCGTCCTGTAGGACCTGATTCCCAGGGAAGACCTAGCTATTGCAGCTCAGAGTGGGTAGCTTTTACTCCTCTGTGGGGGCTGTAGAGATTCCCACCCCAATGCGCCCAGCATCTGCCAGGAGAGGGCTTTGCACAGCAGTTGGGTCGCTCTGGCTTTTCTGTTGCTTTGGGACCATGCTTGGGCACTTCCACCTGAGAGCTGTTTTCCCTCGGGTTTTGAGAGGTCAAACTGAGGAGGAAGCAAGCAGATTTGCTCGCCAAGAGAAAGCAAAGGGTTGTGTCCCCATCACCTTCCCTTGTGTTGCTCCTGGCCAGACCGACAAGCTGTTGCAGACCTAGTAGAAACGCTCGCCCGTTGATTCATTCCCTTCCACCTGCCAAGGAATTACAAAGAAATCAGTGAAAATATTTTGCTTAGTAATGTTCTACCAGCAGATTTTTTTTTATTTTTTTTTTTTTTTTACTGTCTATCCCAAACTATTTAAGTATTCCATGGAAAACAGAAGTTGCCGCAAAAGTTTTATTTATAATAATTTAGGAAAAATATACTACCTCTGAAATACACCCTACTTTTTAAAAGAAATACAAACCAGTTCATTTTCTCTGTGTTTTTTTGAAAGGCTCTTTTGCCAGCATTGTGGTGTTTGTGCTTCTAGCACTTTCATCAAAAAAGGGTTGTCGTTTTGTATGTTCTTTTCTGAGAGCTAGCTTGTTTTAATGAAAAAATGCTTGGGACAAGGAGGAAAATGCAGCAGGCAAATGGTGCATTTCACTGTCCTTACCAGAACAGCATCTGCGGCAGAAAATTGTTTGGTGGTATCCAGTGTAGTTTTGTGATCCCAAACTGGTGACAGAGGGACTTAAAGATGCCAAGGGACGATGAGAAAACAGGGCGGTTTGGGGAGGGAGTCAGCTGGGGACCCTCTCCAGCATGGGAATGCAGCTGGGGCAGCTCCACCACCCGTGCTCCTGAGCACCAGAGGGGCTGACTGTAGCTGAAGTAGAATAAATACATGTACACCTACAAAAGGACCAGTTGGCAGTCTTTTGGGTTTTTTTTTCAGTTAATGGGAATACTTTCACACGAGTAACTAGTGCCACTGGGGAGACATAGGTGTGCCCTAATGCACTTTCTCATCTAACAAGAAAGCAGGCAGAGCCCTTCCTTTCCCAGTGCAGATTTTGTTGGCATTGGAGGATTAGAGCATTTTAAATTTAATAGGAGTTGTAAAAAGTGTCTGTCTGTATTTATTTAGTTGCATATATTTGTGTGTGTCTATACATACAACTCCCTGCTGAAATTAAAGACTGGTTTAACACGGGGATGGGTTTCCACTTGTTTAATTTCAGCCATTTGGAAGTTCGGCATCCAGTTCATCTACTTTTCTAGAAGTCCGTGTTAGGGCAAGGTAAATTGCCCCAGAGGGTCCTGCCTCTTTCTCTTGACTGTGGAAGGAGCGTAGGTGCGTAACCAAAAGCCTGTACCTCTGCATGTGGAGGAGATGAGTCCCACCCTGTGGCTTTTCTCGTTGGCTTCTGTAGCGTCTGCCATCGCCGTCTTTCTCTTCCCACTCCTGTCTTTGTTTTAGTCATTGCAAATCTTTAGAAGCTAATGTAAAAACCATGTATATGAAAGTAAGGAACATAGTAGTAGTTACTTCTTTCTAAGAGGCAAATCTCCAAGTTTGCTGTTTATTTACAACCTCTTAAGAGTTGAAGACAAAGCTACAACACTGGGAAAGGCCCCATAGTAACTCTGTGATCCTAGCTCCCGGTATTTCTTTAGCCCAAGAAACACAGAAGGAGCAGGTAATTAACTTAAGACTTTTCATGGTCGTAACGTCCTTTGTTTTTGTCCTCTTGTATGGATTTAAACTTTCCTGTGTATTTCAGAAAAGGACTTTTTTATTCCCATCTAGATAAAATTTCTTTTCCTGGTCTGTGCCACACTGCTTTATATATCTGTGGGATATGGTTTCCTCTTTCCAGTGTCTCTAGCAGACTTTTTTTAATCAACCGGCAGCCTTTGGCCCATCCCATTTCAGCTCCCACAGCTTCTCCTCACAATGCTAGGCACGAAAAGAAAGTTGTAGCAGGGCTTAATCATTTAGCTCAAAATTATTTGGCTTAGTATTCTGACCTGGGGAAAGATTGCTAGGCTTCCTTGGGTTGAGTGTGATGATCCCAGTGTCCTTGAAGCACTAGTGGAAGGAAAAACCAACATCCCAAAAGTTACAGACTCTCAGCTGACAGCTAACAAAACCTAACAGCTCTGTTGGCTCCAGTAAATTACTTCATATGTGCTGTCAGCTTGTATTTTGAAAAAAAAGGTGAACTACATCTCATGTTTTCTATATGTCCTTTCTTTCTGAAAATAACACGAGTAACAGCTCAAAACGTGCCTGCATTGACACACACAGGGCTTGGCCAGCTTGGCCAGCAACACTACGTGTTGTGTGTTCAATGTATGGCAAGAGGCACCTGAGAAGGCTGTGTAGGCTTAAAGGCTATACCATAGTACATCCATGCAGGTTGACACTAGTGAAGAACATATGGAAAACTGCAAGTCTCTTGCTCTTCCTGACTTACAGAAGTTAGGTTTTAAAACCAAAATAATTTTCTTGCAGTGTACTTCAGAAGGGAGGAGAATCGCTTTGGCTCAGTGCAATGAAAACAGGATGGAGCACAAGTTCTTTTGCAAACCCTGTTTTACAAATCTTGATTGAAAACTGACTCCGTTGATAGAAGAGCTGCTGGTGTTGCTGTTCACTGCGTGTGGACACCTTGTGAGGGGGTGTCCCCGCTTACGGTAGCTGCCAGGCTGTGATGAGAGGGGTTGGAGGATGGAGGGAGTTCAGCTTGGGATTTCCAGTGAAAGGCAGATGGACTTTGAAAAGTACGTGAGGAGTCCAGGAGCATGACCGGTCAGAGGTGAGAGGTCCTTCCCCTCTTCCTCTTCCCCCCTCCTCTGGCCGTTCCCACCAGAGTGGGGCTGGAAGCTGCGGCTGCTTAACCTCGTTTGAGGGTTAGATCCTTAATGAACTTCTGTTCAGATGCTGTTTGGGGATGCTGACAACATTTTCTTGGAGGATGGAACCAGCCAAGTTCCGAGTAGTGTGAAATGAGGATGAGAAGCAGCATTAGGGCATGTATAGGGAGGGTTTGGTCCTACCTCCCTCTAGTGCATGCATGCGGGAAGAGGTATGTAAAACATCTTATTTAAAGCTAATAGAGTCATTGTGTGTAAATATATACTTCAGAGATCTTTAACATAAAACTCTTAATTATTACTTGTGTAGCTAGCAGATTAGCAGTACTCGAACAAGCAAGGAAACTGTTACCTGTGCAGCTTCACTCACAGGTAGAATCACAGAATCATTTAGGTTGGAAGGGACCTTTAAGATCATCGAGACCAGCCATAAACCTAACACTGCCAAGCCCACCACTAAACCGTGTCCCTAAGCACCACATCTACACGGCTTTTAAATGCCTCCAGGGATGGGGACTCCACCACTTCCCTGGGCAGCCTGTTCCAATGCCTGACAACCCTTTCGGTGAAGAAATTTTTCCTAATATCCAACCTAAACTTCCCCTGGTGCAACTTGAGGCCGTTTCCTCTTGTCCTGTCGCTCATTACTTGGGAGAAGAGATCGACACCCACCTCGCTACAACCTCCTTTCAGGTCATTGCAGAGAAACAGAGCAATATTAATTGAGTTTTTTTAGGCTAGGAATGTACACTACTGTAATTTCAGAATGACATCAAAGTCGTAGGCCTTAAGGAAAATTATATTGGAAGTTTAGTTCTCTTCTTGTTTTAGTATTTGCTTTATAAGTAAATACAGGATTAGAAACTTGGGGAAAGATTAGATAGACCCCACTTGGAGCTGACGACGTTCATATTAATACAGATACAGAGAGATGTGACTTCCTCTACCCTGCACTCCAAAGATGGTTTAACAGAGGACCAATACAGAGGATGATCTATCCTAACATTATTTGAGAGAGGTGTTATTCTGATTTCTGGGACTGAATTTCAATTTTTAATAATGCCAACACCTGCTTTGGGGGCCTTTAAATTTCTAAGTAGAAAGCCTTACTATTGCTTCATTTATATATACGCATTGGTGAGTCCTACAAGGATTAAAAGGCTGGGACTCAGCCCAAAATTAAGACACCTAAGTGGTGGTGTCTGAGTACCGGTGTCTACACACAAGCTAGAAGTTTAAGTACCCATCGTAGACTGTGAAGCTTGTCAGCACAG